AGCACAATGCAATAACACGTATCTAAGCTCCATAGAAAAGAGTAAGATTGCAGCCACTAATGACAGTAATTAAAAATTTCTGTAAGAGCTGTCCAATCACCTCTTCATCTGAGCAAATTATAGTGTTATTGAAACCGTCAGTGCAATAAAATGAAGCTAAAAACATTTCACATGAAAATAATCAGACATTGATTTATGATGTAAATTGTAAATCGGTAACCTATAACACACACTAATTGTTTTTCTCTCTTGAAAGGTGTGTTGCTGTAAAAGATCTGATCAAGCACGTGTATTTGTTCATATGTCAGCCTCCAGTGGCTAACCTTACAGTATGAGACATAATAAAGTGTATAATCAGGTACCCTGTTATTGATTGCAACCCAGAAAGGACACTTACCTTGTACAGAAGCATGAGGATGGCTACTTTTTGAGACTTCATTATAGTCAGACCTCTATATGTTTGCTAGACAGGAATTTTTATGAAGTACTATTTTACTGTTAATACTTTGACATAGTGCTCTGATAGGTTGAACCAGAATTTGTAAAATAAATGTAAGTTTTAAGTTTTTAGCATTTATAATCAGTTTATAGCCGAGACCAACTGTACCAGTTCCACAAAATACCTCCACAATGCAATTAGCATGCTTTTTGCTTTTTTTTCTCTCTCCATGGAAAAATAGATTCTCCCCTTCTAATTTAACAGGTTTGTATCTCCTTGTACTTTGCTGTACGTTCCTTATTAGTAAAGGCTGGTGCAAATGCATCCTGCATGTTGAATCAAAGGTGGTCATGTCCAATCCTGTTTGATACTGTGTTTCTTTGACACAAACTGGTGGGACCTTAAAAATGAAAAGAATGAGAAGGAAAACCAAAGGGATAAATACAGTCCAGGGAGACAAAAAGTGCAGTTGACAAATGCCTGTAGAAAACTACATTCATCAGCGCACTAAGGGAATGGCTGAAATGTGGTCAGTTTTGTAGAAAGCTTAACGATTATTCCAAGTAGACAATCATAGCAGATCATTGTGATGCATATTATGGAAGTGTAATTTTAATGTTCATTTGAGTATTCTGTGGCCATTTCACAAAATACATAGCAAAACCTGTTGATCAAAAGTAGCTGTTGTTGATATGCAATAGCTGCTTTTAAAAGCTTGAGATCCCAGCCCTTTCACTCTTGGACTTTGATTTATATTTCCCTTTGAAAACACAAAATAGATTAAGTCACATCATAAAGAAATTGCTTTGAAAATGTTCTGCAAATGCATAGCTGTAGGAAACAGGAGGCTATCAGAAAATAATCAAAAATGCTTACTGCAGTCTGTTTTTTTGCCCTTTTATGTAAGCATTGCCACTGCCAGTTTGGGAACGTTACTTGCATTGTCTCCACCACCCTTCAGCTAGCTGCGGTTGCTGGGAGGACAACAGCAAGAGGAAAGGCTTGACCTCTTCAGCGACCTCTCTCTTATCAGCACGAGGGAGGAAGCAGCGTGACCGGTAGAAAGCCTCTCTAAGGGCTCACTACTGCCTGCTGTGGGGGTCACAGCACACCTTAAGGTTTCAGGCCCTTCCTGTGTTTTTCACAGCATGAGTGAAATGCCCTTTCTCTGCTGCAGGGAGCCCTCACCTTTCTTGCTAAGGCAGGAAAATAAACTATATTAAGCCACTAATTCTACATTGCAGTGTTTATATCTCTACTCTGTCAGCAGCTGCAAAACCACCTCCTGAAGTAGAGAGGTACCAACCCTCAGGGCAAGCAGGAGGCTGGGGCAGAAATGGTGGGAAATGGAAGTGGTGCTGGGGTGGGATCTGCAGAGAGCGGCTGCATGCTTTCAGCCACCCTGGGCTGCTGCCACCTCCCAGCACTGTTCCTCCGTCCTCTGAGATGGTAATCTCAAATGCCCTGTATTTATATGTACTCAAACATGATCTTGGCAGATGCTAATTAGTGTTAGTGCCATAATAGACTTCTCCTCCACAACCTCTAACTTTTTGCAACAAACTGGCTTGAACTGCTAAGCTTTGACACTTCATTAGATAAGAGTATTATGTAAAAACCCTTCTATGGTAGATACATATATAGAAAATAATCGTGTCATGTAATTTTCAGAGGTAGCACAGCTATTTTAGTCCATTTTAGTGACATGAGATGTCAGGAGGTCTCTTGGTTTGGGGTTTTTCCACAAAAATAACTGCCTATCTTTCCCAGCCTAAAATAATAATAATAATAATAATAAGGTCAAAGTGCATTCTCTAGTACAATATAAAAAAAATAAGAAAAGCAAGTTCTTATCTTTGATAAGAATATCTTTGTCCAGTATTCTTGGCAGCAAGTTCATAGAAAAGTCTTCAAACACTTGGGGTTTGATCTCAGCTGGAGAGGAGGACAGTGGTAAGGGATGCCCAGGGCAGGGGTTGTTGCTGTGAGTGAGGGAGGGGAGAACCAGAGGGTTTGAGCAACTTCTGCTCCTCTAAATCAGCTCAGCAAGTTGCCAGATCATGGTCAGCATATGGGGTTTTGTGCCCAGGGACAGTGGCATTTCTGTCAGACATAGCCAACTGCTAGAAAATAATCAGTGGGAAGAGGTTAGAAAGAGCAAAGCTGCTGCAGCAGCAAATACTTTCTTTGAACAGTAAACAGTGCCCCAAAACACCATTCCTGTTTCACAGTGATGCCAGTGAGAAAGGAGGTTCTTACAGTGTCTTAGCTCACTCATGGCAGTGCTGGGGGCAGACATGAATGGGCACTGTCCCCTCCCAGCTGAACAGGAACTGGGTTTGCTTTCTCCAGCATTTCACAGAAATAATCAACCCAGTAACGACCCCTGTGAACCTCAGCCCTGAAAACTGTCGTTCCTGAGAGCGTGGAAGGGTTTCATCTGCTGGCATGGCATCACTGAGATCAGGTGTAGATGAGGAGGCAGTGGCCACTGGCATCCACCTCACTGCAGGCAGGTCTGCAGCACTGGCTGGCCAGGTACCACAGTCATTCCATCCCCCCCCCAGCACACCGAGACAGCAGCGACATCCTCAGTGAGAAGGGGTCAGCCTGCCATCCTGTCTCCCATCTCTGACCATTGCTTCTGCTTTATCTCCCTGGGAAGTGCAGCACAGTACAGGCGTAACATTTCAGCATGTCCTTTGAAATCAGTATGAGGCCAAAGCAACAACCAGAAATGTTGCAAGAGGGATTACAGTCCTGTCCCAATCAGACACTGAGCTGGATGAAATTCCTGGCCAGGCCATAAAAAGCAGCCTCTGCAGCTCTGCTGCCCTGGGATGGATTGGCAATCTACTCATGTCCCACAGGGTTAGGGTGAGGAACAGCCTGGGGTTATGATTTTGGAGCCCCTTGGATTCTCCACTGGGCTGTCACCTTCGCAACAGCCATCCTTCTGTGCAAAGGCTGCATGGGAAAAGGAAAGGCTTGTGTGAGGGGTTGAGCTGGGAGATGGATTATTCATGCACACATCTGTAATTCCTCTCGTTTATTCCCCATACGACAGGCGTTTGTATAGAGCCATATGAGCTGAGCTCCAAATAAAGCCGACTCATTAGCTGGAGTGGCTGAAATAGCTCTGCATCACTCCAAGCATTTATTATAGGTGTTGGCAACTGACTGGATCGATGCCCCTCTCCTCCAGTGCATCTAGTTTGAAGCTGCCTTGACCAGCCTGACAAATCTACCAAAGACCAGTTCCACCAGCCTCCAGTAGACCTGGCCTCCCAAATTGAGTCCCATGTTCTAAATAACCAAACCCCTGACTATGGCACTACTGTTCTAACCATTTATTAACCTGGCAAATCCGCCTAGCCTTTTTAAGGTCCTCCCCTTTGACCCAGGGGATCAATGAAAAAACTGAGCTCCAGAGCCCCTAACCACCACTCCCAGGGCTCCATAGTCTTCTTAATGATTCCCAGGCTACGGCAGTCAATATCGCTAGCACTCACATGGATGACTAGAAGTGGGTAATAGTCCGTGGGACTTACTAGAGCAGGCAGCCTCTCAGCAACATCCCTGATCCGAGCCCCTGGTAGGCAACACTCCTCCCTTGAGAGTGGGTCAGGGTGACAGATAGGTGCCTCTGTGCCCTTCAAAATAGTGTCCCCTACTACTGTGACCCACCACTTTCTCCTGGCAGCACCAGTAGTGATCCTCATTACTGGTGCATCAACCGGTTGCTCACAGGGTGCAGCATGCGTGTCCTCATTAGCACCCTGCAGAACTGCAGAGCGGTTCTGGGTGAGGACAACAGATTTAGGAGGAAACCTTGCTTTTAATTGTCCTCTTCCTCCTTTTTTTGTTGGCATTTTTTGTTGTTAGTTCCCACCTTCCTGCATTAACACCCTTCTCCTTTCCTGTATGTGCTGTGGTGGACGCTTGGGGCCCCTGCACAGATTGGGCCTGGAGCAAGCAGTCCTGCTTCCTCTCAGCTTCCCAGACAGCTCAGCCCCTGCTGCAGGAGGGCCTCCACCGAGTGCAGCCCTGCCCCTTGTGCACTCTCGCCTCAAGAGACCGGTGCAGGCACTTCCTGCACCCCGCACTTCAGTCGTCCCCCCGCTCACCGGCTCTGTCTGGTGCCGAGGCTGCCACCGCCGGGACGGTCAGAGCAGAGCGCCCAGGCCGCGCCCTGGCTCCCTGGGGCGGGTTTTCCCCGCTCAGGGCGGTGCCGTCCCCTGTGAGCTGCAGCAGGGCCCTTCAAGAGCCCTTCAAGAGCCCGTTAAAACTTCCAGCTTCCGTCTAATCTGACCGCAAAACAAGGATCTCACTTCTGAGATGCATATCCAAACCGTAGTAACACAGGCTCGTTTCTAACAAGTTCCTATCGGCTGTTACCCTCCCCCCGTTTTGGTTATGACAATAAATGGTAGGGAAGGATTCCAACCTAGGCAAAATACCAGTCTCCCATGAAGTTGCAATAGAGAAACATCCAGTGGTTGCTTGTCTCCACCCCATTCACTTTCCAGTAAAGCGTCTTACTTTTTTTTTTGCTCTTACCTGTTGTCAGAGGAAAACGTATTTAAATGACAGAGATACAGTTCCTGACACCTGGTATCCGCTGTGTCCTGTTTCCACTGGTTTTCATGGACCTTGTCCTGAATTAATGAAATGGGAATCCCAGTTCACTCTAGTAGGTACTGGGAAACTCACCATGGGGCTCAGCCCTCACTGGGGCTGGTGGGAATCAGAGCAGAGCTGCATGTGCACCCAGGAGCGGCCTTTGTGTGGAGCAGGGAATTTGTGTCCCTCAGAACATCCAGTGCTGTGGTGATGGGCGTAACTGAGGGGTTGACGCACCAGCATCGCTCACCACTGTGTGCCAGCAAGCACTGCGTGGTGTGGATGGCATGTAGCACCTTGTTCAAAGGCACCTCTAATGTACAGTTGCTTGGCTTTCAGTGGGTACCATGTGTTGCTTTGGGTTCAGCTTCCTTTATCTGTTTCTTCTTTTTTTTTTTCTGCTTCTTGTATCTTGGGAAACCCTAAATTATTTTTTTTTCCCCCTACGCTTTTTATTTTTCCCTTTTTAATTGTGTGAAATCAACTTGGAGTGAAAAGGCCACAAAGAAACTTCTTGACGCCGAGTGAGTCTACAGCTGTGTCTTTGTTCTCGGTGGAGCTAAAGACCACATTAATCAGAAACTTCGCTGACCTTGTCTTTACTACCTGAAGACTGAAAGACAAAAGCGACACAGTCTGGCCACATTTAAAAATTCAATTAAAAAATGCCTGCTGCCGGGGGATAAACATTATGGTAGGCCTCAGTCTGGTGAGATATAACTGTGATAAAGGCAATGCCTTTTTCTCCCTCTGTTTTTACTTTTTGTCCCCAAAGAGAATAAAGCCTCGCTTCTGTTTCTCCTTCTGGTTATGACAACTGTGTATGTGACAGAGTGTGCTCAGCGGTGTTGTGTAGCTGGTGTTGGGGCTTTTAGTAAAGAGCAAGGTGAGAAATTCCTGAGAGGGGATGGCAAGCTGGAAGTCCAGAAGAGAAGCTACTGGAGTGGACCGGAATAGAAATAACCCTTTGTTACCATATTTTCAGACTACACTGATCTGATAACATACCACTTCTTCTTATAGCCCTGACAGAAGCAGACTGAACAACGGTGAGGAGACCACACAGAGAGCCTGACTCACCTTCTGGAGACATAAGCAAGGTGAGGGGAGAGGTAGCATTACAACTCCTTCCCTAAGGATGAAATGGAGAGCCTTTCGTTATGGCACCCAGCTGTGCCTTACTGTTTTTTATTATTGATATGTTAAGCAAAACAGTGGATATCCAGTCACCTGAGAATGAGCAGCCAAATGGAGGGAGAAAATCAACTGAAATCCCTTGTCGCTGACTGTGACAGGAGGAGAGGCAGGCATCTCTCCCTTTCTGCTGGCAGGCACTGGGTCACGCTGGCCAGCAAGGAAGGTGATGTCCTGGCTTTGATGCAACAAATTAAATAGGGTGTATCTTCTCTAGGTTGAGCATTCAGTTAAATAAAGGGGCAAATTCCTTCCTTAGAACGTCCTCCGGCCCCGCCAGCCCCCCCGGGGCCTCTCCTTCCCTGGTTTGCTGGCAGTCTGCCTGTTGGACTTCTTTGCATGCTGCACCTTTATCCACCCTCCCTCGCTGACTCTGCTCTCCCCTTCGCCCCTCCTGGGCTCACTTTCATCCTGTGGGGGCATGCCTGGGATGGCCTTGGGCTGGGGAGAGCTGCGGGAGTACCTCCGCTGCTGGGAGGACTGGGGGGTTGCTGTTGAGGAAGTCCTGTAGGCTCTTCCTGGGAGCTGTGGGGGCACCGGGGAGCTGGTCCCACTGCGCCGCCCGTCCGAGGAACTGCGGGAGTTAGCACCGTGCGAGGCGTTTCTGCCTTTGCTGGCAGACCTGTCCCTCTCTGAAGGGGTGTCGGAGGCTGTGCTGGAGGTGCTGCTGCCTTTCGAGTTCAGGTGCAGATTCGAGAGGTTTCTCACCAGACTGTGCGAAAGGGGAGAGGAGTTTCTAGAGTGGCTGATGGACATGAACTGGTAACTGACGGGACCGCGTGTCCTCCTCACGGCAGCAGCATAGGAGTCCTGGCTGCGAAGGTAGGGCAGGTAGTGGGTGACGGTGGTTGGGCTGTGGGGGTGGCCGTGCTGATGAGAAATGGCTTTTGCTATTTGGTGCATCCGTAGCGTCTGCATCCACTGGCTGTCGATGCCTGGAAGGGAAAAGGAAACAGAGTCAGCTTTCTCTGAACATCAATGAACTGCTCTCTGGTTTACCCAAGGTGTGAGGTTAGGTACCAGGGTTTCTTTCAGAAGAACCTCAACATACCTCAAACCACCCTTGCCCTCCCAGCCGTGCAGCAAATGGTCCTAGGTTTCAGTACATTCAATGCTATGGTTGAACATAATGTTAGATTTTTAATGTAGTAAAAGGAGGACAAAGGGTAATGGTTTTAAACTGAAAGAGGGTAGATTTAGGTTAAACATTAGGAAGAACCACTGTGAGGATTGTGAGACACTGGAATAAGTTGTCTAGGGAAGTTGTGGATGCTCCATCCCTGGAAATGTTCAAGGCCAGGTTGGATAGGGATTTGAGCAACCTGTCTCATGGAAGGTGTTCCTGTCCATGGCAGGGAGTTGGAACTAGATGATCTTTAATGTCCCTTCCAAAACAAACCATTCAATGATTCTACAATTCAAAATAACAAGTGCAGCAAGTGATACAAATATTTCTGATGCCAGTGTAGATTATGGAGCTTAGACTAGATGACACTGAACCATCTATTTGGCTGTTCAGGTAGGTTTCCACTCTCAGGTGCCTCCGTGTTTTTAACGCAAGCTGGTTTTATACATTTCCTGTGATGCTCCTGGCAGCCTTGGCAGATTTCTCTGCAGCTTTCATTGCAAAGGAGCCTGAAGATCACCGCAGCAGGCATGGAATGGACATTACAACGTGCCAGCACTGTTGCAGTATCACTATCTGTGTCTCTCACAGCAGTCACAGTCAAGCCATTTGTTACTGAGGACAGATACAGAGGCAGTGAAAACCCTCAATGAAAATCTCCAGTGTGGCAGCCACACTGACCTCCTCTCAGTACTTTCTCTTCAAACTGCTACACAGCACAACAACCAGAGCCTCTTCAGTTGTTACTATTACTACAAACTCAGAAGTCAATCTAGTTTGCGTGCTCCAGACACTGAGTCTGAGCTGCAGCTACGTCACTGTGGCTTCACACAGAAAATCGACTGGCTTCAGCCAGGATAACTTAGACAGTGCTTAACTGTGAGCAACTCAGGGCATTACAGTTCACTCACACCTACTGTCACAGCCTTGGGGTCATAACAAAAGTTGTAGCTCTCAGAGATTACTGGAGTGCTTTTGAAAGTTAGTCCTGTGGTTTGCATGAAAGCCTATAGCAAATTCAATAGTCGTAATTTTCTATTTGAACTTTGAAGACTGCCTGGTTTGCTGCTTTATGGGCAGAGCAGAGACCAGGAATTCCTCTTATCTGAGGCCACAGCTCTGGCCAAAAATCGTGGGGTGCTGCTTAAAAGATTTTGCTCTGGAGATTGCTCCTGTTCAGATGTAAGGGATGGTCTCTTCCATTCCTCCTTTCTCCAGACTTCGCTTCAATCCCAAGAGATTTAAATCACTTCAACTTAATATCAAATATGTCAAAAGGAAACAGTCTTTCCTGTGACACTGCCACACAGGTACCTCCAGCTGCACTGAGAGATTAACCTCCTTTCATGGAAAGATAGATGGGAATTGCCTTCTCTGCTTCTTTACCTCCTTGAAAGTCAAGGTTTCCAAAGAAACATGCATGCTGAAATATACTTGCAAGACACCACCTCCTCTGCCATTCCCCTGTGCCCTCCTACGAAGGCTGTGGGTATAAAACACAGACCTTATAAACCTAGAAGCAACAGGCTCATGACTTGAGTTTGCATCTTTGTTATCAGCTCTCAGGTGGCCACCAGGGCTGATGCTGTACTGAAAGAAGGGCTCCCTTCAGTGCCTTCAAGCTGTTCAGTCCCTGCTCCTCATGGCCAGCCATGGTCTCTAGTCCAGGGACCTCTCAGTGTGTCCTATGGTGCTGCCTCACCTTTCTTGGCCTGGGGGGCATCTTCCTTACACAAATTCTGAGCTACCAGGCGTCTATACTGAACTAGATGCTATATGTGGCAGTCCCCAGAGGTAGTACCTTCACTGCTGATTATTTTAGCCTCTTAGAAAGGTATTACCTGCACCTTTGTGCTTAGATTTGGTGGTGTTTTAAACCTGGGGAAGGTGGTCTGGTAAAGAAGACAGGACAAAAGGTTTGCTAGAGCTGAGGCATAACTCTCACACTGGTGAGTAACACATCTCCTCTGAACTGTGCCTATTTACCTGGGTACTGACAATACATTAGTGCCTTTGTATAATGACTCCTTGTGCTAAAGCTCTCCCACTGCTCATCACAAAAGAATGAAAGCAACTCAGTTTACTGTGGCAGAACCAACCTACAGAGGTACAAGAACACAATTTGGTATGGCTGTATGGCTCATCACCCCGAAACTAGGATAACCTCCATCAACAGGGGTAATCTGCAGAGAAAACGTATGTTTTCAGGACGTGCTCTAGATCCCACCTGCAGGACAAATCACAGTTGTGCTGCAAGTGGATCCCAATTGCTTAGGAGTAAGAGCAGCCATTTTAGATGTGCTGAAAGCACTGGCTCCTGAAATTGTCAAAACAGCTGTGGAAAACTCCATTATTCCCAACAGATAGAGAATAGAGATGTGTGAGATTATCTTCCTTTCCACCAGATGCCTTCCTGACATCCTGGTTGAGGAACACATCTTCACCCCAGGCTTTACATACTTTCTGTGGGTGCTATAATTCCATATAAATCCTTTTGCTATGACTCCAGAAAGCTGAGCACGCTCTTGTCTTGGTGAAGAGGGGTGAATCTGAAGGAGAATGGAAAACTTGCTGGCTGATACCCTGATGTCAGCATCCCCAGGCAGACTTCAGAGAAAAGCAGGCCTGTCATTGTGGAAAAGCTACCACAGACATGTACATATATGGCAACAGAGTGGGGAAGAAGCCTGGACCATAGGCAGAAATGCCTCTCCCAGTGACCCGCTACTGGAGGGGATGGAAAGGTTGATGCAAAGCCAACCTAATGAAGGGACTGAAAAATGTCAGGATTTAAGGCTGCTTACTGTTGTAAGATGTGAAGCATTCGGGGTTTTGGAGCAAAGATATCTGAGCTGTCTGCTGTTGATGTGTAAATGCAACTGATGGCAGTAGATGAAAGATATGTAGCTAACCACTATGGACTGCTTCCGGCATGCTTCCTATAGGAGCATCCATGTCATCCCCCTTAAATCACACTGTGATATGGAATATGTTACTATCCAAAGTTTAGCTTTCAAGCTGAGTCAGGCATGCCACCGTGCTCCTGTACACATCTACGAAGACATCACAGCGATCACCATGCCAGCTGATGCTGCAAGATGTGCACTGTTGTTGGAACAGAACAATGGATTTGACTTTTTGCTCTTCTCCCCATATACACCTTGCTCATGTCAGCAGTGAATTTCATGTGTACTGACTTACTTGAGTCAGATCTGCTCCGTGAATTCCCCTCCGAGTTGGGGAGTGAGGTGTGTATCATGAGCTGTACGGTCTCGACCTCATCCTGCGCTTTCACCTTGCTCCAGCAGATAGGTTGGATGTGCTTGGTGGATTTGGGGGCTCTAACATCACTCTGCTCGGGAAGGACACAACATGCATGAGGACATAATGCACATGAAGACACAACTCACTAAACTATCCCACAAGGGATCTTCCACTAGTGCCTGGGCGGCAACAGCATTTTCCAGATAGAGTCTATTCTGCAAAACCAC